CACCACATGTCCTCTACGCAGAGCGGAAAGGCACGGGAAGGGGAGGGACTCCGGAAACTCCAGGAGGCCCGAAAGGCTAGCAAGTACCAAAGTAGATTCGGATTCTCGATCGTTCGCCCCCAGACCCCTGACGTCGTGATTGTCACATCGAGTGCACCGCATGTACATACACATCCGTATCTATGTGTGTATATATATATATATATATATGTCTGAGTAGGCCGGGGGGGGGGGGGGGCAAAATCGGTGCCGTCATCCCCCTGGCCGCCCCCCCGAACCCTTTGGTGGGTCACAGACCCCCCGGGACTGCCCCGGAACGCTTCCAAATTGCCCACGACAGGCCACGCGGGCCGTACAGATGGTCACGAAAGCCTGAAGAGGCCCGAAGACGCCCAAGAGCAGCCGAAGAGGTCCCGTCGTGAGGGCCCCAAGAGGGCCTTCAAGAGGCAAAAGTCGGCCCGTTCCTTCAGTAAAACGTGCATTTTCGGCATACTCGCTAACCTCATCTTCACAGTGCCCCAGACGCTCCCGCGGAGCCCCAACACAGCCCAAGAGAGACCCAAGAGGGCCCAAGACGGCCCAAAAGGGTCGGCCAGTGGAGCTCACGGAACCCCCCAAGACGGCCCAAGAGGCCCCAAAGCCGGCCCAGGAGGCCCCCAAGACGGCTTCAGGGAGGCCCAAGAGGGCCTCGTTCGAAATCATGTTCCCGGAAGTTTCTCTGGGAACATGATTTCCACCTTCCGAGGACGCCCAAGAGGTCCACAAGACAGCTTCAGCGAGGCCCCAGTGGGCCTGAGATGGCTTGAAGATGGCCGAAGAGGGCCCCGAGAGGGCCTTTCAAGAGGCAACCATCGGCTTATTTTCTTTGTGAACCGTATATTTCTTAAGAGATTTTGCGAACCAAGTTGCGGGTGGGTGGGTGGGATGTTTGCGCGAGCAGTGGAGTGGTCAAGCGCGGTGCAGGGTAGTCAATTCCCTACCTAGGTTCTGCCTACTGGGTTCTTACTCTCTTTCTTAAAGGGGCCGGTCAGTGTTCCCCGCCCCAGGCGGTTCCCCCGGTCCCCGCCCCGCGGTTCCCCCAGTTGCGCCCCTTTAGTTTAGCTTTGCTTATCTCATCTTAGCTTAGCCTAGCTTAGCTTAGCTTAGCTTGGCTTGGCTTAGCCTAGCCTAGCTTAGCTTAGCTTATCGCAGCGCAGCGCAGCAGTAGCATAGCATAGCATAACCTAGCATAGCATACCATAGCGCAGCATAACATAACGCAGCATAGCAAAGCGCAGCATAGCATAGCATATCATAGCATAGCGCAGCATATCATCGCATAGCATATCATAGCCTAGCTTAGCTTAGCATAGCACAGCGCAGCATAGCATAGCATAGCATGTCATAACATAACATAGCGCATCGTAGTACATCATATCATAGCATAGCGCAGCATATCATAGTATATCCTAGCATACCATAGCGCAGCATATCATATCATAGCATAGATAGGGGTCTAGATGTAGATGTTGGTATTAAGCTGTGTTAGAACTACTACTACTACTACTACCACCACTACTACCACTACTACCACCACCACCACCACCACCACCACCACTACCACCACCACCACCACCACTACTACTACTACTACTACTACTACTACTACTACTACTACTACTACTACTACTATTACTACTACCACCACCACCACCACCACCACCACCACCACCACCACCACCACCATACTACTACTACTACTACTACTACTACTACTACTACTACTACTACTACTACTACTACTACTACTACTACTACTACTACTACTACTACTACTACTACTACTACTACTACAACTGCGACGATGAGGAGAAGGAGGAGGACGGCGTTTACCGTTACTGCTGATCTTGCTCTCCTCGGGGCTCCAACTCCTAGGTAGGGTCGCTCTGGGATAATTTTCAGCATGCTCGCTGGCTTCGTCTTCGCAGTGCCCCAGATGCCCCCGAGAAGCCCCAAGGCAGCTCAGGAGAGACCCAAGAGGGCCCCAGACGGTCCAAAAGGGTCGGCCTGTAGGGCTGACGGAAACCCCCAAGACGGCCCAAGAGGCCCAAGAGGCCCCAAAGCCGGCCCAGGAGGCCCCCAAGACGGCCTCAGGGAGGCCCAGGAGGGCCCCGTTCGAAATCATGTTCCCGGAGCCTCTCCGGGAACATGACTTCCGGTCTCCCAGGGCCCCCTACTGGGCCCAAGGACAGCCTCAGCGAGGCCCAAGAGGGCCCGAGATGGCTTGAAGATGGCCGAAGAGGGCCCCGAGAGGCCCTTCGAGAGGCAAAAATCGGCCCGTTCCCTTTGCAGAACATGCATTTTCAGCATACTCGCTGGCTTCGTGTTCACAGTGCCCCAGACGTTGGCGGCCCAGGGCGTTGGGATGGCCCTCGGCGCACCGAAGCCCGAGCGAGCCCCCCCCGGGACCCAGAGGTGGACCACGCTGATACGACGCGTGTGCGCGACCATCCTGTTTCAGAGACGCGAGATAGATTAGCCGTTTGTTGCGAGAGGTCCCGCTGACACAACGCTCCAATAAATGCATGGATGCGCGTAAGTGCAGATAGGAAGGGGAGGAGGAGGCGTCCTCATCCTCTCCTCCTCCCTGCTCGCCTCCCCCCTCGTCGTCCCCCCCTTCCACCTTCGAGGCCGGGGACTACCCGACGATACCCCTCGCGGTCACGATCTTCGCGTGCCCCCTGGCCATCCTCCTCTTCCGCCACGCCACGAGGCCGACGAAGCACGTGGGCCGCTCGACGTCGGGCCTGCTGGAGGAGGGGTTCTGGCGGGGGGAGCGGGGAGGTCTCCGCTCGGGAATGGCGGGCCTCCGGGGCGCGAGCGCCGGCCTAACGGCCCGAGGAGCGAGCACGCCCACGGGCGTGCCGCTCTCCGAGAGGGAGGTGGGCCTCGGGAGCGCTCTGGCAGGCCAGCCACTACTGGGGGAGCTGCGGACCTTACCCCCCTGGGGGACCCATTGATTCCGACGCCCCTCTCGAGAGATCGTCGACGCGATGGGTTCCCCCAGGGGAGTAAGGACCACAGCTCCCGGAGCTATGGCTGGTCGGTCTGGTCAAGAGGTTCTGAGCGTCGTTTTCTTGTACTCACTGTTTTGCCGATCGGCACGGGCCCTCGCCCCCCCCCTCCCCCCCCCTTGTAGAGATTATCTTTGCTGTTTTGGACGCCTGTCTCAAGCGGGTGGAGTCTCCTCCCACAGGACGCACTGCTGCAAACAGTCGCAGTGAGCAGGGGTTCGGAGCCACAACCCCCCCTTTTGAGCCCCCCACCTTCACCCTGGCACGGTATAATAGAATCCCACGTGCTATAGGGAAAAGGGGAAGAGACAGCAACACGAAACCAATTGCCACGAACCACAGGAATAAGTGATTGAAGACAGCTCCAGCGATAGAATCCAAAAGTGAGAAGTAAATCACCAGCCTGTGCGAACAAAAGAGAACGGAAACCTCAACGCATGTTGATTGGGTACCCCAGGGCCTTTCCCCGAAACGGCATCATAGAAGCCCGAGAGCTATGAGGAAGAACATCAGGGACAGTCCCATGAAGCTGGCATAACAAATAACGGTCAGTTGCAGAAATATCCAGCGATAGCGTTACAAGTGATCGTTGTCTTATTCGTTGTTTTGCCGATCGGCGCGGGCCCTCGCCCCCCCCCCCGTGGAGAAGATCTTGGCTGTTTTGGCGCTTGTTTCAAGTAGGTGGAGCCTCCTCGATAGAACGCACTGCCGAAAACAGTCGCGTAAAGCAGAGGTCTGGAGCCAGACCATCTCCGCCCACCCTCCCTCCCCGCGTCCGCCCAATGTCGAAACGACGAATAAGAAACGTTCACCTGGAGCGCTCGGGAGTGGCCGCGGCGCCCGATACCGATACGCCTTGCGCACTCGCCGATCGCTGGCCTCGGAGAGCGCCGACTTGTCCGCACCCCAGTGTATGCAGGTCCCGGTTCCGTCGCACTCTTGACTTAGGAAACAGGATCATGACCACAGTTCAGAGTTCGTGGTTTGGGCAAGGCATGATCGGCAAGAGTGTGTTGACAGACAGTGCCGCCGAGCTCTCGAGATGGCGGGCCCTTGTGGCAAGTTCCAACCACCGTCAGCGCCAACCACAAGAATCTGGCGTACGACACGATCCTTTGGATTCAGCGGAGGTGAACAAGGTGGGCGAAGAGGTTTGGGAGCCGTTGGGGAGTTATGAAGAGGAGGGGGAGCGCTTAGAACTCACCCCCTAGAGTCCCATACCCCGCATCACTGCTTCTCCCTACCCTCTTCCTGTATCTCTCTCTCTCTCTCTCTCTTTTATGCTTATATATAGATCTCTCCCAATCTCGCGCAATCGCTCTCTCTCTCTCTCTCCCTTTCTGTATTTATTTCTCTCCGTCTTTCTGTCTCTCTCTCTCTCTCTTTTCTCTTGTCTCTCTCTATCCATGTATGTATACATTCATATATCAGAGTGAGGGGGGCGAACGGTCATTGTCCCTGGGTGCGTGGCTGAAGTGAGAGTCCGTGGTGAGGAGTATGTTTGTTGCGTTGTTGCTGTTGTTTGTTGTTGCTGCTGTTGCTGCTGCTGTTGTTGGTATTGTGTTTGTTGCCTTTTTTGATGTTTTTGCTGTTGTTGCTGTTGCTCTTGCTCTTGTTGTTGTTGTGGGTGAATTCTCATTTTTGAAGAATACTTATTGTTGATCCCCCCCACCGGTGCATACTGTTTCTTCTCAATCAAAGTGTGCCCCTCGACGCTCGCACCGTGTTCTTTGACAGGGACGGTCTTGATGCTCAAACTGGGCCCCTGGCCCCCGGGTTACAGCAACAACGGCTCCCGCCTGAGACTTCCTTACAATTTAGCCAGGACCCCCTCTCCCGCCCGAGATTTCCTCGCATTTTATTCAGGAATCGCGCTCTCGCTTGGGACTTCCTTACAATCTATTCAGGAATCGCTCTCCCGGCGCTCTGGAGTCGCGCTCTCGCTGGAGACTTGCTTGCAACATACTGAAGAATGGCCTTGCGTTGGAATTTCTAACATTTTGCCCAAGCGCCGCGCTCCCGACACCCAGGCACCCAGGAGTCGCGCCCGTTGTGGCCCCATGTGCATGCCCTTCGTGGCCCCGTTGTCGCCATTTGTGTCCCCCTCACTGTCCTACGTGGCCCAGTTGCTACCCTCAGTGGCCCCATAGTTGCCTTCTGTGGCCCCGCATTATCTGCACTTCGTGGCCCCTGCTCGTTCGCGCTCTTCGTGGCCTCATACGCATTCCCTTCGTGTCCCCGCTGTCGCCCTTCGTGTTCTACTTCGTGCCCTTCGTGGCCCTTCTGTTGTTCTCGTCGTCGCCGTCGTCGTCGTCGTCGTCGCCGTCGTCGTCGTCGTCGCCGTCGTCTTCGACGTCGTCGTCGTCGTCGTCGTCGTCGTCGTCGTCGTCGTCGTCGTGGTCGGTCCCCTGTCCGTCCCTCTTGGGGTCGGGTCGACGGTCCGCGGCCGCCCCACCGATCCGCGCTGCCGCTGGCCAGGCCGACGGTCCGCGGCCGCCCCGCCGCTTGCCGGGACCCGCCCTACAGGGAAGAAAGGTATACCCCCCAAAAGGGGTTCGATCGAAGACGAAAAGGGCGGGCATCGAGGGTTTGGGAAATACGCGTTTTTGGACACTCGAGCATATAAGGGCGATCAGTCTTAAACTTGTTGTTGTTGTTGTTGTTGTTGTTGTTGCTGTTGCTGTTGTTGTTGTTGTTGTTGTTGTCGTTGTCGTTGTTGTTGTTGTTGTTGTTGGTTGTCGTCGTCCACCCCCGCCACCCATCCGCGACCCACCCCGCGACCCACCCCGCGACCCACCCCTCGACCCATCCTCGACCCAACCCGCGACCCACCCGCGACCCATCCGCGACCAACTCGCGACCCACCCGCGACCCACCCGCGACCCAACCCACGACCCACCCGCGACCCACCCGCGACCCACCCGCAACCCAACCCGAGACCCACTCGCGACCCACCCCACGACCCACCCGCGACCCACCCGCGATCCATCCGCGACCCACCCGCGACCCATCCGCGACCCACTTGCGACCCACCCGCGACCCACCCCGCGACCCACCCGCGACCCACCCGCGACCGATCCATGCGGCGGGCTCGTTGTATGATTTGCAAAACTTTGCGCCTGCAGCGGGCTTCTCCAGAGTCTCGCAGACTGCCGACTTCCCCACCGCCCCCTCACTCTTATCCGCACTGTCTCGCCCCCCCTCCTCATTCTCATGTCCCCCTCCTCCCTCCTTCCCCTTCTTGCGCTCTTTTCCCCCCTCCTCCACCTCCGCCCATTCCTGTCTTTTCTTTCTTGTCTTTCTGGGAACGGAGTGGGGAAGCCTCTCTTCCCTCCCTCACCTCCCCCCACCCCCCCTTCCTTCCCGTGCTTGTGCTGCTCGTGAGAGAGACACGCAGTCATCGAATGTCCGTCGATGCCGATTCTCACCGCGTGCAGCAACCAAGCGCAAAGGCCTGCAGTTCTCCCTGCCCTCCTCCTGGGGCGCGCAGGGGGCGCGGCGCAGCTGGGCTGCCAGAAGGTGCTGCCGGCAGCCCGACTCTCCGCCCACCTGCTGGGCACGCCGCATCCGCCTGGAAGGCGGGAGCCGGGCGTCGCCCGAGAGGGGCCTGGCCCGCCCCGCCCCCCGGCGGAGGACCTCAGCGACCGAATCAACGCGCTGGGGGCGCTCGCGGCCAGGGAGCAGGACGGGGTCGGCCGCGTGGTCTGCCGAGCTGTGGTCGCGCGGTTCAGCTCGACGGGCGCCTTGCGGCACAGGTGCAATGTCGGAGGAGAGGAGGAGGAGGAGGAGGAGGAGGAGGAGGAGGTCGAGGAGGAGGTCGAGGAGGAGGTCGAGGAGGAGGTCGAGGAGGAGGCGAGGAGGAGGAGGAGGAGGAGGAGGAGGAGGGAGGAGGAGGAGGAGGAGGAGGAGGAGGAGGAGGAGGATGGGGAGGAGGAGGAGGAGGAGGAGAAGGAGGAGGAGGAGGAGGAGGAGGAACGAGGGGAGGAGTCCGAGGAGGCTGTTCCTGACGCTCAGCCTGTAGAGGCCCGCCTCGGGCCCGGGGGCCCCCAGAAGTTGGCCCGCGTCGCGAGGCTGCCAGCACGGTTCCCCGCAGCGGTCTGGGGGGGTGTTTCGAGCGGGTTGTGGCCGGTGGGGTCGCGGGTCGAGTTTCTCTGACTCGCCCGGCATTCGTGATACGCTTCTGTTGGTGTTCATTTGGTTTGCGTTTCCAGGCATACCAGGAGATCTCACGGAGGCCTAGGAGCATTTCCGTCCAGTACATCTCATATGGGTCCCTCCGCTCTACCTCTTTCCCACCTCTCTCCTGATGATCCTTGTCCTGTTGCCACGGTTTCACCTTCACAGTACGAGGTGTATTGGCGAACATCCTCATGCAACGCTCTCATGCTCTTTGACATCATGCCGAAGTCAAGGGGGAGGATGGAGAGGTTTCGATTAGCTGAGCTCGGCCCAGCTCAGCCCTGCTTGCCCATCATACGCAAGCACTCAGAGCGGAAGACGGGAGGGCAGGGACAGTTCAACAAGTCATGCGGAGTAGACGACCTAGAGACGACCTAGAATCTGGAGTGCCCAGCCCTGACAGCTGACGCAGTTCACGCTCGATGTTGATATTTCGGGCTGCCCCTCTGTGAGTCGAGCTGCAGAGGTGCTGGGTCAACCTGTGCACGTTTTAAGATATCTGGTCATGTCTACAAGTATCCCAGTGCGACCCTACCTAGGAGTTGGAGCCTCTAGGAAAGCAACATTAGTAAGAGCGGTAAACGCAATGGTGAATTCTGTGCAGCGCTATGCTCTGCTCTGCTCTGCTCTGCTCTGCTATGCTATGCTATGCAATGCTATGCTGCACAATGCTATGCTGGGCTAGGCTAGGCTATGCTATGCTATGCTGCGCTATGCTATGCTGCGCTATGCTACGCTATGCTATGCTTTGCTATGCTTTTGCTTTGCCTTCGCGTTTGCCTTCACTTTTACCTTTGCTTTTGCTTGTGCTTGGCACCCAGGGAGCGCGACTGGGGGAACCGCGCGTTTGCTTTTACCTTTGCTGTTGCTTTTGCTTGGCTCCCAGGGGACCGGGGGAACCGCCCGGGACGGGTTACACTGCCCGGCCCCTTTAAGCCAAGAGAGTGAGAACCCTTCTAGGCAGAGCCTAGGTAGGTAAAAACAGTTACATATTTTGCACCGTTTATGCATAAAGCGTGCAGGAACAGAGTCAAACCGCTCGATCCCCCCCCCCATTCTGACATGCATGTTGTAGCCCCTACAGCTGCGGACATGAGTAATGGGTCGGAGGTCTTTGGCAGGTTAGGAGGCTCGAAAGCGATTGTCGCTGGCGCCGTTTCGATTATGAGCGCGACGCGGGCACCAGCGTGTTTTTGTAGCTTGTCGGGGCGCGGAGCGGGGTCGGTCACGGGGTGGGTCACGGGCGGGTCGTGGGTTGGTCGCGGGTGGGTCGCGCGGGGTTCGCGCGTTGGGCGGGGGCTTTGTGGGCCCTGGAAACGGCAGGGCCGTTTGTTCACCGTTTCCAAAAAAAGGTCCCTTGAAAAAGGAAACGGCAACAAAAACACAGCGACCGGAAACGGCAAAAAAAACGGGTCCAGGATTTGAGCCGGAGCCGGAACCGGACAAAAAACGGCGACGGAACCGGTAAAAAAACGGCGTCGGAACCGGCAAAAGAACGGCAGAGCGGAACCGGTAAAAAAACGGCCTTGTCGTTTCCAGGGCACACTAAGGGCGGGGGCATGGGGGGTGCGCGGGGGGTGGGGGCAGAGGGCGGCGCAGGGAGGGGCGCGTGCGGGGGGAGGGGGGGGAGGGCAGGGGAGGCGGCGCGCGGTGGGGCGCGAAGGGGCGCGGGAGACGTCTCAGGGGGGCATTGGCAGGTCGCGGGTCGCTGGGCGAGTCGCGTGGCGGCCCCCTCAGCGGAACCCCATGCAGCCACACACACTCAGGAACGACAATTCGTACCGCGGAACCCCCATGCAGCCACGCACCCTGGGACAGTGTATCGGCCCCCTCAGCCTGACCAGAGCAGTCGCTGTTGCGGGTAAGTGGATTTTCGGTAGTTTATTACCTCCTGTGAGATCCGAGAGCACGTGTTCAGATGCTCGCTGATGGCGTCACGTTTTCCCATGGCTCACTGGAGGCGCCATTGCGTTGATTTGGTATATAAATCATTGATGGTTCGTGGGTGGGTCGCGGGGTAGGTCACGGGGTGGGCCGCGGGGGGGGTCGCGGGGGGGTCGCGGGGGGGTCGCGGGGGGGTGGGGGGTCGCGGGTGTGCCGCGGGGGTGACAAGCAAGAACGGCATTCCGCACTGGACAACCCCACGCCAGCCACGCACGCAGACACAGTGTAAGAACAGTCGCCACGCTCATTCTGAGTAAGACTGTGCGAGATAATAAGGCTGTTCGACGTCCGACCCTTACATGTGCGCAAGCATCTACATACATCTTCCATCTAGTGATTTACGTATGTGTGTCTACACATGTATTGTAATGTCGCATACAAAAGTGCCAACCTCTCACACACGTATACACAACCCCACACATATGCAGTTCTACATGTCTACGTGGGTGCAGATGTAAAACCATATATGTGAGTGTGTATATATATATATACAGATGTATATACAAGTGTACAAACATATGCTCAGATGTTCTACGTGTACGTGCAGGGCGCCTACGTTATACCACCGCCACCCTTCTGCCTGCTGGAAGCGCCTGTGTGGCCAAGCGCTGAGCCACAGGCTGGTAACGCTGTTGGGTTCTGGGCTCCTCCAGCCGTTATAGGAATCCGTGGGGAACATTTCGGATAGAAGAGGGGGAAGGATGAGCGATGAGTGGAGTGGGACCAGTCGCGAAGCGAGCTTGAACGTATCACAGAATCTACACCCCCTGCGCTCGATGAGCACCGCGGCAACGAAGAACAGGACACCCACCCATGGGGCCGGC